ACAGAAGATAGCTAACACCGAGCCGGATTCTGATCCTGACTCACTGAGCCAGCAGTATATCCAGGAGGTAAAGCAGCTCCAGGCTCTGAAGAAACAAGAGCGGAAGGTGTGGGAATATAACACCCGATATATGCATCATTGGCAGCATATGAAATCACTGCAGCAACAGTCTCAGAGCAGTGCCAGCAGTCGATGGTCTGCACAAGAATGGAAGAGCTTCCAGGAACAGTTTCAACGGGCGCGGCATCGGGCACAGAAGTATGAGTATCAGCTGAGAAAGTCCACCCACAAGATCACTGAGCAGGTAGGATGACAGATTCAACGTGATGTGGTGATAAACAAGCAGCAAATAAAGGTAGTGTTAAATCGTCAATTCAGATTAAACAGAAATAGAGATATTAAAACAGTTGTAAAAGGGAGATATATATATATTCATAACCCTATGAGATAATGTTTTCCTGTTCTTAATAGTCTGCATCTTATTTGATTTTAGTACTCCTCTGATGAATGTTATTAGGTCCCAAATAAATTTCATATTGTCTTTATTGATTGGTATTTTTCCTTCTTCTCTTCTTCCTCATCATTAATGTTCTATATAGCTCCAACTGGCCCCAGTTGAAACAAATACTTCAATTAGAGTTTTTACTTCTAGTAGTCTTTATTATACTACACCACCTGGGGAAGAACAATCTACAATGGAGCCTGCATATAGCAGGCCTTAACTGCAATACCTACCACATCCAGTGGTTAATGCTGCCATGAATGATAATTCAACCTACACTAATCTCCATCTATATAATTCTTATGATCCCTTCACCCTCCTCCTATCACCCCCCTTATAACCCCCTATATGCCCCCTATAACCCCCTCCCTATCAACCTCTCCTATCGCCCCCTCTATTGAAGTGGTTTACAGGGTATTGTGCTTCAGGCGGTAGCAAGCAAGCAAGGATCAGGCTTTTAGTATATGATTTGCTATTATCATCTATATATATAATGATAAACACAGAAGATCAGGCACTAACTATCACACTGAGTCATTGACTTTAA